ATGATACAACAAGACAAAGATAAGGACAGCCACGCTCCCCTCACCGCACTCTGCTCTGCTCACCCAGCCCACCGCCCCTGCCTGCATGGCCACCAATCAGCAACTGGCAGAAAGACAGGCACCCTTACATGACAGAAGTAGGAGGAATGGGCCGAAACCGGTTTGGCTCAGTGGATAGAGCGTCAGCCTGCGGACTGAAGGGTCCCAGGTTTGATTCCGGTCAAAGGCTGTACCTTGGTTTCGGGTACATCCCCAGTAGGGGGTGTGCAGGAGGCAGCTGATCAATGTTTTTCTCTCATCGATGTTTCTAACTTTCTATCCCTCTTCCTTCTTTTCTGTAAAAAATAAAATGAAAAAGAAGTAGGAAAACTGGTTCTGCGGAAAATGGGCACCATGGCCAAACCAGACTGTGTCATCACTTCTTATGGCAAAAATCTCACCACAAAAACCGACAGCATGGTGCCCTGGCAGGGTAGCTCAGTTGGTTAGTTGTCCTGATATACCAAGGTTTCAGGTTCTATCCCAGCCAGGACGTATGCAAGAATCAACCGGTGAATACATAAATAAGTGGAACCTCAAATCGATCTCTCTCTCTCTCTCTCTCTCTCAAAAACAAACAAACAAACAAACAAACAAATAAATAAATAAAATAATAAAACAAGTCGAAACCAGTTTGGCTCAGTGGTAGAGCGTCGGTCTGTGGACTGAAAGGTCCCAGGTTCTATTCCGGTCAAGGGCATGTACATTGGTTGCGGGTACATCCCCAGTAGGGGGTGTACAAGAGGCAGCTGGTCAATGTTTCTCTCTCATCGATATTTCTAGCTCTATCTCTCTCCCTTCCTCTCTGTAAAAAATCAATAATATATATATATATTTTAAAAATAATAAAACAAAACAAAACTGACATGTTGAAAACTGCACAATTTTCATGTAATTGGAAAGAGAAGTTTGAAGAAACTATAGTTGATGGCAGGAAAATGCAGACTGTCTGCAACTTTACAAACAGTGCATTGATTAAACAACAGGAGTGGGATACGAAGGAAAGCATAACAACAAGAAAATTGGAAGATGGGAATTAGTGGCGGAATGCAGCATGAACAAGGTCACCTGTACTTGGGTTAATGATGGAGTAAAAACTCCATCATCTTTCTGAACAGGAATCAGCTGTGAGGATAAACAAGCTCAGTTCAATGAACAAGTCTCTTCATGTCCCTCCCCCTCATTATTGTGTTCAGTTATCTTTATCACAAACATTTTACATGCAACTGAGTGTTGGTTTAATTAGAATCCACCTTTTAGTTCATAAATAAATGTGTTTATGCTAAAAAAAAAAAATTTTAACAGTATGCAATTCAAAAATGACCAAACTACTGCTTCATTACCAATGACAACTCTCGCCCTGCTCTTTCCTCCTGCCTCCTAGTCAAAAATTATTAAGATGAAAAATTATTAAGGGAAATTATTAAATTTCTCTTGCTTTAAATATATATATATATATATATATATATATATATATATATATATATATTAATTGATTACAGAGAGGAAGGAAGAGAGGCACATCATGATAAGAAAGTGTCATTGATTGGCTGCCTCCTGCATGCCCCACACTGGAGCTTGAGCCCATAATCCAGGCATGTGTTCTGACCATGAATCGAACTGTGACCTCCTGATTCATAGGTTGACACTCAACCACTGAGCCACACCAGCCAGGCTTCCTTTGCTTCTTGACAGCATTCAGCCCAGAACAAAGTTGTGCTACCGTAAGCACTCTCCAAAACTGCAAAGCACAATCTCCGATCCTGCAACAAGCCCACCCTGTTTCTCACTGAGATGTCCCACAGATCCCCACTGCGCATGGGCCCCTGCTGCAGTGAGTAAATAAACCCAACTTTGACGTCAAGGACCTAGACCAAGTTTTAGGTCCTGAGCCTTATCACTAAGTGAGAGTCTAGCAAAATCTCAAGTGGGGAGAATGTAAAAAACGCAACTTTTCATTGCTCAACAAATAGCCGCTGAGCACTTAGCATGCGTCAGGCACTGTGCTGGGACGTGGGAACAAACCCATGCCTGGTCCCCAAGGAGTTCACAGTGGGCGAGTGAGATAGACCGTGTAACAAAGACAAAAATAATGACACCTTAAAACCATGCTAAGTGCTAAGACCCACATTTAGTGGGTCAGGGGATGTTTAACAGCACCTAACCCAGCCCTGCCCCCAATCAAAGAAGTACCCCGTTGAAATCTGGATTCTCCAGGCCTGGCCTTGTAGCCTCCCAAAGTGTCTTGGGTTGTTCAGGTTCTACCTGCACCCCCGGATCTGTGTGGGGTTGGAGGCATAAAGCCAGTAATGCCCTTTCTCTCCTCCCTAAAACCAGTTTATCGGAGCCCAGTTGGTAATTCCCATCCTAGGAGGAGGTCCGGGTCTTAGCACCTGCAGATTGGGAAGGAGTCTCTGGTGAGGTAAACCCTGCTGGGTGGGCGGGGTTATCCACGGTGCCTAGGACTTTTCAACAGTCTATGAAAACGCTTGAGACCTGAAAATAAAGTCATAGTGACACCAAAATGAAACATCAAATTACAAAATAAAATCAACTTAGATGTTTTCTCAAAAAGCAAATTGTCACCCTGGCCGGTGTGGCTCCGATGGCTGTAGCATCATCCCATACACCAAAGGGTGGCGGGTTCGATTTGCGGTCAGGGCACATAACAGGTTGTGGGTTCAATCCCCTGTCAGGGTGCATAGGGAAGATGGCTGATTGATGTTTCTCTCTCACATCAATATTCTCTATCTACCTTCCCCCCCCCCCAAATAAATAAATAAATAAATAAATAAATAAATAAATAAATAAATAATTTTAAAAAGTGAATTGTCATGGCAACTCCATTTAATGTGCAAGCTTTATTTATAGGGGATGGATGTCTGTAAGCTGCCTGAGCTGGGCTGGGCAGGACTCCACGGATCACTTCTGCCAGGTGTGTGCTCCCCTCGGAGAGACTTGCTTGAGCTGCAGCAGCCGCTGCAGGTAGGAAGGGTGGATCCTGCTATAAGATAAGATCCCTGGGACATGCTGTCACCCCAGATATCTCTGAGTCACTTCGCAGCCCGCTGCAGTGGCCTTCACAGCATTTCCGCCTCGGGCAGCTCAGGGTGTGGCGGGGTGTGGTGGGGCCTGGTGGAGAGGTACACGTGAGAGGAGTACCTGAGGGAGGAGGAGACTTGCCACGGCCTCCATGCCCGCCCCAGCAGGACTTTCCTGAGCAATGCATGGACTTGTGCTGGGCATCTGTGGCCACGAAGTTGTCTTGGGGTCCCATCTTTATATTCCACCTTTAGTCTGTCTTTGCCTGGCCTTATTCTTCAATTTTAGCCCTCTAGGTTCTTTTTAAACAATAAAGAAACTCGGGATTTCATCTGTACTTAATAACAAATATTTAAAATTCTTTAAGGCTAGAGACTCTATAAACCAAGCTGACATTGACTGGCTGGGGAGAAAAATACATGGGACATCTATAACAAACACAATCTATACTAATAAAAGGGTAATATGCTCATTAGTCCGGGAGACCTTCTGGGTGTCCTTCTGGACAAAGGGATGGTTGCAGGGCAGAGGCAGAGGCGGTCAGGGGCGATAAGGCCAGTAGGAGAGGGCAGTTGGGGGCAATAAGGCCAGCAGGGGGGGCAGTTGGGGGTGATCAGGTCAGTAGGGGGGCAGATGGGGGCTAGAAGACTGGCAGGCAAAATGGTTAGGGGCGATCAGGCAGGCAGGCAGTTGAGCAGTTAGGAGCCAGCAGTCCTGGGTTTCAAGAGAGATGTCTGACTGCCAGTTTAGGCCTAATCCCCTGAGGAGTCCCAGATTGGAGAGGGTGCAGGTTGGGCTGAGGGTCCCTCCTCATGCACGAACTTTGTGCACCGGGCCACTAGTTTTTACACATAAAATACTTAAAACTACAAGTCACTAAGAAAAAAGTCAAAATGTCCAATAGAAAAAAGGATTTGGCTCAGCTGGTATGGTTCAGTGGTTGAGCATGGACCTATGAACCAGGAGATGTGGGTTCGATTCCTGGTCAGGGTACTTGCCCCAGTTGTGGGCGTGCAAGAGGCAGCCAATCAGTGATTCTCTCTCATCCCTGATTTTTCTCACCCTCTCCCTTACTCTCTGAAATCAATAAAAATATATTTAAAAAAGAAGAAAAAGAATGAAAAAAGAAAGGATTTGAATAAGTAATTTCCAGAAGAAAGCAAATGACCCACAAACATGAGAAACTACTGAATTTAAGCCTCAGTCAAATAAATAGTCAAGTAAAGCATTCTTTATCCAACAGATTACAAATTTTTTTCTTAACCAGGTAGCTCAGTTGGTTATAACACCGTTCCTTTCGGCCAAGGTAGTGGGTTTGATCTTTAGTCAAGGCACATCCAAGAAGCAACCAACGAATGCATAAATGAGTGGAACAACAAATCAATGTTCCTCTCTCTCTCTCTCTTTCTCTCTCTCTCCCCTTCCCTTTTTCTCTAAAATCAATAATGGTAATAATAAAAAAGAATTAGTGAGTTGCCTGCAGGTAGGTGTTAGAGCATGGGAGTGCATCCTTTCCCTACCACAAGGGCCTGGTTTCAGAGCTGGGCTCCACGGCCCGGGCAGGGCCCCTCCTTCCCCGGGAGCACCCCACTTCCCCCAGTGGTAGGGTCAGGTGCACCGAGGGCAGGTGGCGTCCACAGCCCACGAAGGGGTGGGGATGACCAAGCACAGAGGGGCTTTGGGGGTTAAGACCCACTTGACCTTCCGCAGGGGCCAGCAGGCTCTGGGCCGCGGGCAAGAGATGAGGGCTAGGAATCCTTTGTGGCTCGTTTGAGGTGTAAGCAAAGGTGTAACCCAGCAGGCCCCAGCACTCCTGGGAGGATGGTGCGAATCTAGGCCAATGGGGAAATCATGCAGGATGACGACCCCTTGCCCCACGCACATTAGCACCCCTCGGCAGAGCTTGCTCAATAGGGGCCATGGTGGCCCCCTGGGGGTCCTGGCCTCTGACGGCAGCACAGCAGCGGGGAGCCAGGCTAGGCGCCGCTCAGTCCCCCTTCAATGACCTCAGCCCGCAGCTGGTGAACACGGGCTTCCCCCAGTGGCATCTCGGACACCATGCCCTGGAGCCGGTGCCCTCCATCCTGCTGCTCTTCCTGCTCCTGATGCTGGGCGTGCATGGACTCCTGCTGGTGGGCCTCCTCTCCCCAGTGTCCCACCTGAGTCAGCCGTGACCTCTGCTGGGGGGCAGGCATGGGGAGAGGGAGCTGCCAGGCCTCGAGGTGAGAGCAGGCACACGGGGAGGGGAACCTGGTGGAGCCCTGAAGGTGTGCTCAGAGGACAGCTTCCACCTGATGCAGAGGGAACCTCTAGACCATTGTCCCAGAGTATTGGATGGATACCTTCATTCCCCTGAGATGTTTTTATTTTTATTTATTTTATTTAAATTTTTTTTAAAATATATATTTCATTGTTTTTTTTACAGAGAGGAAGGGAGACGGATAGAGAGCTAGAAACATCCACAAGCTGCCTCCTGCACACCCCCTACCGGGGATGTGCCCGCAACCAATGTACATGCCCTTGACTGGAATTTAACCTGGGACCTTTCAGTCCACAGACTGACGCTCTATCCACTGAGCCAACCTGGTTTCGGCTCCCCGGAGATGTGTTTAGGTAGTACCCGGAGATGTGTTTAGGTAGTATCGGGCCTGCATTAAGCTCGATGAGCAAGAACAGGATTCCCTTCCCATTCTCTTGCAACCCTTTTATGCCAGGAGACTTCCTGTCGTGGTGACGCTAGGCTTTCAGTCCTCTGGAACCAGAGCTGATGTCCCTTGTACCGTATTTTCCTGCATATAAGACGACTTTTGAAACAAAAAAAAGTCAACCGAAAATCGGGGGCAAAAGGCCAAAATTGCACAAAAATTACCTGCAGATCTTGACAGCAAAGTAAGTCTTTTCTTTGAAGTGTGGGGGGGAGGGGGTAGTCTTATACAGCGAATATAGGCCTAAACCTATGTTTTAACTGTAAAATTAGGGGGTTGTCTTATATGCTGGAAAATACGGCGTATAAGAAAATACTGCGGTAACTGGAGAACAGGCCTCGGGCTTAGGGCGGTGGGAGAAGTGTTTTATGGCCCTGTTTTTACTGGCTACCTTCTATTTGTGACAGGTGGTATCGGCATTCCATTTATGGTGGTGGTGTTTTCAGTAAGTTAATCCAGTAAACTTGGAGAGAAAAAAAAAAGTTTTGGGAGCCTCTTATTTTATCTGTTTCAAATTGAGTGGGAGCGGGGTGAAATGGGCTAATTTTAAAGGGAGAGTATAAATTTGTACACCTTTTCTGGAAACAGTCTGTGGCCAATGGTCTTGGGTTTTTGACTCCTAATATAAAATAATTTAGCTCAGGTGGTGTGGGTCAGTGGTTGAGCATCGATCGACCCGTGCTCCAAGAGGTCTCTAATTCCAGTCCATTCAGGGGTCAGGGCACATGGTCAATGCACAGCAAGGGGAGGCAAGAGGCAGCCTATAGATGCTGATGCTTCTCTCTCATCGATGTTTCTACCTCTCTCGCCCTCCTCCTCCCTCTCTCTAAAATCAGTAGAAACATTTTTTTTTTTTTTTTTTTAAAAAAGGAATTTAGACCAGGGACACTGATAAAAAGCAAAGGCAGATTGATGGAGGCCTTGCAGAGGGGGAGAACATGAGATAACTTCCCAGCTACTGCACCCGGAATGAGGACTTAGGGGTGGGGTTAATCAGGGTGTAGGGTGGCTGGCTTTTTCCTTTTTTAGAACACGGAAAACCAGAATATGTCAGCAAAACAGTGTCCTGGGCTTGCACAGCACTTATTATGGGAGCAGGAAGGACTTTCTCAACTAGGTTTGAGTTTGTCTTTAGGGTTTGTGGCTTGGCTTTAGATCTGAAAAGCAAACTTAAAAGAAGTCAGGGTAGCCCTAGCCGGTTTGGCTCAGTGATAGAGCATGGGCCCGCAGGCTGAAGGGTCACGGGTTCAGTTCTGGCCAAGGGCGCATATGTTGGTTGTAGGTTTGATCCTTGGCCCTGGTCAGGGTGTGGGGAAGGCAACCAGTCGATGTGTCTCTCTCACGTTGATGTTTTCCTCTTTCTGTCTTTTCCCCTCCCTTCCACTTTCTCTAAAAATACATTAATGGAAAAATATCCTCTGGTGAGGATTAACAACAACAAAAATGAATAAAAAAGGGTGTACAAATTTATACTCACCCTTTAAAATGTCAGGGTAGTTACTGGACCACTGTTTTACAGCTACTTACTGAAAACTGCCTTAGTCCCAGCAGGGCATAACTCGATGAGCAATGTATTCTGGTAGGGCTTGACTCAATGGACTAATTTTGGGAACCATCTGATTTTAACTGCTTCAAATATAGTAGTAACCATCCTAATTTTCAATGCAAATCTCTTTGACTCGGCAATCTTCCTTCTATGAAATGTATTTTACAGAATTAGTCAAATGTCAAAACATGTTATACAGGACATTCATATGACAACATATATAAGTTATGAAGTATCCATATAATGAAATACTATGCAGCCATTAAAAAGAATTACCCATATGCTCCGCCTGGTGTGGTTGGTTCAGTGGTTTAGCATTGATCTATGAACCAGGAGGTCACAGATGGATTCCTGGTTGTTTTGTCCAATGTTGTTCCATTGTAATGATAAGAAGAAGAAAAAATACACACACACACACTAGAGTGTTGCAAACTGGAAGGTCCTGGGTAAGATTGTGGTCGAGGGCACATGCCCTGCTTGTGAGCTCCATCCCCAGAAGGGGGCGTGCAGGAGGCAGCCGATCTACGATTCTCTCTCATCGTGGATGTTTCGATCTCTCTCTCCCTTTCCTTCCTCTCTGAAATCAATAAAAATATATTAAAAACAAAACAAACAAAACCCCAGACCCCCCTTCCTCCTCTACTCTCCTCCCACCTCGCCCCTTGATCCTCATTAAAGCAGAAACCCAGGCCTGTGCACTTTCTCTTTACCTGTGACCTTGCTGCATGGCTCTAGGTGTGCTGTATATTTCCTGGTCCTGTAAATAATAAACCTTTATTTTTTTTCAAAGTTTCTTTATGGTTATTGCTGAGGTGCATCTTGCAATCATAATAAAAGCCACAAGGGCTGGCCCAGCCAATAACAGTGGTTATTAATAGGCTGAGACCAGCACAAAACAATTTGGCATAATCGCAGGATTGCAGGATTGCTCTTGCAGTTAGCTGAGGGGAATGCCCTTACCTGCAACTTGCTTACTAACCACCTAATTCAGGTGGACGGCACCGCCAGGGAAAGGAGCACAGCGTGCTGGAGGGATCGGTTTCACTTCCATGCATTGCCTCTGTCTGTGTTGCCTATAGTACCCAGCCCTAAAGCCATGGTTTCGCCCTAGCTGGTTTGGCTCAATGGATAGAGCATTGACCTGTGGACTAAAGGGTCCCAGGTTCAATTCTGATCAAGGGCACATGCGTAGGTTGTGGGCTTGGCCCACAGTAGGGGGCGTGCAGGAAGCAGCCAATCAATGATTCTCTCCCATCATGGATATTTCTATCTCTCTCTTTCTCTCCCTTCCTTTCTGAATTCAATAAAAATATAGTTTAGCCCTAACTGGTTTGGCTCAGTGGATAGAGCGTCGGCCTGCGAACTGAAGGGTCCCGGATTCGATTTCGGTCAAGGGCATGTACCTTGGTTGCACGCATATCCCCAGTAGGGGGTGTGCAGGAGGCAGCTAGTCGATGTTTCTCTCTCATCGATGTTTCTAACTCTCTATCCCTCTCCCTTTCTCTCTATAAAAAAAAACAATAAAATATATTTAAAAATAAAATAAAAAATAAAATCATGGTTTCCATTATAATCTAACGACCTCCCCAGAGCAGCGTAATCGAGGCCATATGTCCTGCTGAAACTGGTTTGGCTCAGTAGATAGAGTGTCAGTCTGCAGACTGAAAGGTCCCAGGTTCGATTCTGGTCAAGGGCATGTACCTTGGTTGCAGGCACATCCCCAGTAGGGGGTGTGCAGGAGGCAGCTGGTCAATGTTTCTTTCTCATCGATGTTTCTAACTCTCTATCCCTCTCCCTTCCTCTCTGTAAAAAATAAACCATATATATATATATATATATATATATATATATATATGGTTTATTTTTATTTTTATTTTTATATATATATATTTTAAAGGCCATATGTCCTAATGAGAAGAACAGACCACTAGTTATATGACTATTCATGTGGGTAAATGTCATTCCCACGTCAAGGCTAAGGAGAGCTAAGGACCGTGGAATGCATGGCCATGCTAGTGTCCCTGCCCAAGCAGAGGCTCTGGGCTAAAGACACAAAGAAAAGATTCCATCCAGTAGGTGAGGAGGATGGTGACCGCTGTACTCAGATGACGTGTCCTAACCAGGAAGAGTGAAATAGCTTTGCAAAAGGAGCCAATGGCACCACCCTCTGGCCCAAACTGGTTCAGTGGGTGCAGCCATTTTCCCAGGAAGCCTCCCACAGCCCTACCCTCTACTCCTTGTTTATGGGAGTCCCTGTCTCTTGTAGCTGGGGGGTGCCTGGGCCTGCCCCTGTAAAATGGGGGTGACCACAGGTCTGAGTTAATGTTGGGAAGTGTTTAATACAGTAACTACCCCCCTCCTCCTTCTCTTCCTCTTTTCTTTGTGAATGACGTCTAGCCTGTCTTCTGGGAATGCCTACTCCATGGGGGCTGCAAACGGCAGGCACAGGCGGTGGACCAAAGGCTGCTGGTATCGGGAAGAAATGCTGGCAGACACGTCTGAAGGTGGTGAGAGGTCTTGCTCGGTCAAGGAAGCCCAGGAAATGGGATGCGTGTGCTGATACGGAAGTTCCTGCTAGAAGGGCGTGTGATGTGTTGACAGGCTGACATATCAACAGGGTATGCCTCTCTCCCCAGTGCAAAGCCCCCCAGCCTCGGAGACACTGCCACTGTGGTCTGGCAAGGAGCGTCCTTGTGTCATGCACTTACACTCTTTTCAATCTAAATGACTGGGAACAGAGCCCGCAGGATATAACTGTTCATGCTTTCATAGGACTTGTAATTACATTACTTAAATCAATCCATGGGGGGCAGGGGCGGATTCTGTCGATAATTCTTTTTTTGGAAAATATGCTTGCTTAATCTACTGGGTCATTTTCAGGATGCAGAGCTAAATCCCTATCTGCAGGTTGGGGACTTTTTTT